CACCAGCTGAATTGCTGCTGACCTCAGCAGGCCTCTGCCCTGGAGTCTGTGGCCCAGCTCCCCAGCCTCTGGTTCTGTCTGAAAGTTACCAAAAAGTCTGTCAAGCAAGGTGGGCAAGGCTGGCAATTCTAGAGTGTCTCCCCTCACCCAGCCCCCAGTGAGTGGGGAACGGCCACCAGTCCCTGCCCTGGAGGGGCCCCGGCCCTGAGCTCAGGCACCGCTGGCTGGCTGGGGACCTCGCGCGCCGACCGCGAGGGTCCACATCCGCAGACAGTCCTCACACACCTGAACCAGCCACCGCGCTGCCCGAATTTCTGCTTTATCCGAAAATACAGAAGGAGAGACGGCAGACAGCCCCACGGCCCGCATGGATGGGGCTCCTTGGAACGCGGGGGTGGGACGGTAGGGCCGGGGGCCGGAGCAGCGCCAGGACCAATGGGTGATGCCCGCCTGCACAGCTCAGGGCCGGGCAGCCTGAGCCCGGGGCTCGTCCTCCCCGCTGCTCACAGCCCAGAGGCCGCTGTTCTCCGGGAAGGCTGTCCCCAAGCTCCCGAGGCACCTGGAGAAGCCTTCCCCCAGTTCTAGCCTTGGACACATGCACGCACGTGCACACGCACACCTGGGGGATGTAGCTCACACCCTCTGTGCCTGGAGGGGAGGCACCATGTCCCCTCCGTCACAGCAGGGGGCTGGCCCGCGAGAGCCGACAGTCCCCACAGCGGGATGGCCTTTCTCTCCTCTTCACGGAGACACACCTGCCCAGTCACCGCCCCCTCCTCGCTTTAAGGCCAGTGGGGCAGTAAGAAGCATTTCGGACCATACAGATCCCGTTTGAAACCCGCCTGCAGCTGCCGCGTGCATTTGGGGGAGTCGTTTGGAATCCCTGGGCCTCGGCTTTTTCTGCTGGAATTGGGATCCTGATTTTCGTTTATTCTAGTGAAATATCCATAACATAGAAATACCTTCTTAACTAGTTTTAAGTGTACGGTTCAAGGGCATTCAGGACGTTCACCCTGTGCCACCATCACCACCACTGTCCCCAGAACTTTCTCATCTCCCCACACTGAGCCTCTGCCCCACCAAACACCAACTCCCCGACCCCTCCCCAGCCCCAGGCCCCCCACCAGCCCCCTGTCTCTGCGGGACCCTGTCTGGGGGGATCACACACTCGCGACAGCCTTACCCCAGGTTGTCAGGGGCGTCGGGTGAGGTCACGCGCCCCGAGCGTCTGCCCTGGGCCCAGCACGCGGTAAGCGCTCAATAGCTGTTATCTTCCTGTCTCCTGCTTCTTTCCTCAGGTGAACTTGGACCTGGACGTCGGTCTGCCTTCTCCCAGAGCTGCCACCTCAGGCCCCGGGGACATGTGGGGCTGTCCTCACAGGTCAGAACATGTTTCTATAGGAAGGTCGTGGGTCGGGCATGCATTTGGTTTGGAATCAAATTCTTAGAACACGTCATGTGAATTCAGAGAAAGAATTCTAATCGCAGGACGGTGAACGGTGCTGTGTGTCCCGGCAGAGCCCTTGGGGTGGGGAGTCAGGAGTGAGGGTGCCGGCTGGGGCAGGAGCCCCCTGCCTCGTGGTGACCGCAGTCAGGGTGGAAGGGCTGCTGCTGAGTCACACCTACAATGGAACGCTCCAGAAGTGCCGTGTCTGCGTGCAGACGGAGTCTCCCCGATCCCTCCTCTGCATGCTGCCCCTCAGTCCCGAGCCTGCCGATGACCTCGGGCGTCGCTGCGTATCCCTGGCCCTCCTCCGCCCACCTGCCCGCCCTGCGTCCTCCTGCTGCGGCCACCCGTCCTGTTGCGATGCTGCCACGTTCGGGCCTTAGTGTCTGTTTTCATCTTTGCCATCGTATTGGGTGGAATAATGTCCCCCAAAGTCACGTCCACGAACCTGTGAACGTGGCCTTATTTGGAAACAGGGAGAAGGAACAACCTCCTGTCTTCAGCTCCCAGCCTGGGCTCCTTTGTGCCGTGGGAAAGGGGACACCACCGTTCACATGAACCCGCCTCACAGGGGCCTTTCCTATGGGAATTTGCTCATCACAGACACAGAATAAGCCCCCGTGAGCTCGTCCCTGGGAGGGGCTCCAGAGCAGCACCCACAAGCTCCAATAAGAGGAAGATGCTTCGATATTTTCTGAGCTCCTGGGTCAAAACTTATCAAAGGCCGTGAATCCAGACCACGCGATGAGACATGAACCCTTACTCAGAGGTTTCCGTTCAGCCTATTGTCTTGGACACAGGAAACTTCTTATGTTTCAAATCAGGTTCTATTCTTAAAAGAGCTTGCACCTCACTGTGGCTTTTGAGAAGTTCTGCAAGAAGTTTCCAAGGCCGGTGCTGTTTCCTCCTCGCGCTTTCTGCTGAGCCCGAGGTGGCAGGGGGCAGCTGGACTTGGAATGTGTGAGGATGTCGAGCCTGTGACCTGGGTGAGTTATTAATAAAGAGCCATGCTTGCTGGATGCCCACTTCTAGAATACGATTCAGAGGCCAACCCAACCAATGTGACTGTGCTGGGAAGCAAATCACAAGCGCGGAAGTGCCCTCCGCCCCAAGGCCAACACGTCTTCACCGCGTTCTGCCTGCATCCGGGCGCCCTGAGGCCGGGTGTGGAGACCACGGCGTCCCTCCCGAGGGCTGTGGAGGAGACAAAGTGAGGCAGGTCTTTCTGCTGCAGGACGGCTCCCAGGCTGTGACGGGCTGACGAGCCCCAGACATCCCGGGGGGGCCAGCCTGTTGGCCACGGAGTATCTGCTCCCACCTTGAGGGATGCCACTGCTTCCCGGACAGTTTGATAAACGCTGACTGTGTCTCAAAGTACCCTGCACTTCAACTCACCTTAATGCTTTCCTCCAGCTGTGTCATTTAGGGATATTTTCTTTCCATTTCGAGAACGTATGCTCCTTGATATCAGACCTCCATAAATGCTCTAGAATCCTATTAGTATAAATACTGACAAATACTGATTATAAATACTGACAAAATGAATTGTCCCCAACAATGGCAACTACTCGGAATAAGCAGAAGGAAAAACATACCAGTGTTCCTGTGTACTAGCCACGGGCGCTGGGGCAGAGTACGAGCCTCTAGCCTCACGGACTGCCAAGATTATAGGACAGAACATGTAAAACCCTCTACACAGGGCCTGGTACACGGTAAGTGGTCCACGGATGTGAGCAATGAGTACGCCGAGCATCTCTACACCCTCAGACACTTGTGATCCTGTTGGCAAGAGAAGCTTTCACGCGTGAAGTTACAACCGGGACCTGAAACTGATAAAAATGAAACTTCCCCTCTTTGGGGGCACTACACGCCCCTTGTAACTGTGCACATTGGGATGGTGGGTCAAAGCACAATAGAAGCTGCAGTGATAGTGGGATTCTGTGGGTCCCTTATTCTGCCACACGACTCGGGATTTTCTTTATTCTGCTTGTCTGAGCACGGGGAGCCTGGGGTTGGCCGGGAAGGTGGCTGAGCAAACCCTGGGCCTCCACGGAATCCCAGCGACGCTCTGCGGGCAGAACCAGGACCAGTGGGCTCACGGCTCGGGAACACAGCTCCGCATGGCGTGAGGAAGACCCTCGGGCCCGGGCCCCAAGCTCCCCTCCTGGAGCAGCTCTGCCTGGGCTGCGTGGCCTCTCGGCAGGTTAGGTGTAACGGGGAGACTCAGCCCTCAAGGGTGGAGGGACCAGCTTGTCCTCAGACTGCCCTCATGCCACAGCCTGATGGCTCTAGGCCATGACCACAGGGTTCAGCTCGGTCTTTTTTTCCTAATAGCGTGAAGCCACCATGAAAGAGCGGGGCCACGCAGACGTGCCCAGTCTTGGTTTCCCACTCGCTGGGTGAGTATCTCCCCGATGCTCGCTTATCTTGCCTGGGAACTGGGGATGTTGACACCTGTGCATCGATACGCTTACAAGGCAAAGAGCCCTGGGACACTCAGCAAATCCTGGATCTCTTCCTGCCTCTCCGGAAAAGCCTGCAGAGACCGTTCTCAAGGGTGGGGAGGAACACTGCCCCTCCTTGGGGTGGAGAGTCAGGAGAGGGTTGACTGGAAAGTTGGGAAAGCGACTGTCAGACCACAGGGAACGGGGAACACGGAATTTGCTAACTTCAGCTAGTCCCTCTGGCGGGATGAACGACCGGGTTAGAGACGGCATGGCCACGGGACCCGGACAGCCCAGCTCTGTGGACCGCACGCTGCTCCGGCCCCATCATCACCTGTGCCCCGGGACCCAGAAGGCACATCTTCCTCATCTTGTCCTCAGGGGGCCCTTTGTACCGGGTTCCGGGGACACCCGATGTGCCCGACACACAGGAGGGGGTTGTTATAGCCGCCGAGCAATGACGTGACCTCATGCGCACACCCCACGGTGCCACCTTCCAAGAGCTGTTCCTACGGAGCTCTGCCATGCTGTGGACAATGGGGGAAAAGAGAGGGGACTGGGAGAGGGAAGCCCACTGGCTTCCTGGTTTTCCTTTTATTGGCCAGTGTTGACGCGAGTTCTCAATGTCTCAGCCTGGTCTGAGTGTTCAGGATTTTGCTGAATGAAAAGAAAGAGACTGACCGGGCCTGTAAGATGCATCATTACAGAGTATCCACAAAGAGAGAGACTATAATCTGGGCACCATCTTTTACCGTCATAAAATTAAAACTATAGACAAGAGATACATTTGAATAAAATACAATAATTTAAACATTTATTATTTCATTTCTTTATAGTCCATAAAATAAAGTGGCTAAAGTAAAGTGGCTAAAAAGGTAAGAGTCTTTAAAGTATTAAATCTCTCAAAGGGAATTTTTCACACTCAAGTTTTGGAAAAAAAGATTGATAATAAAAAATATGAAAGGGCTCATATAAATTCTGAAATCAAGGAACATCTGATGAACACCTGTAAACAAATCTCAATTGGCTTAATTGAATCCAAGGCGTTATTCATGATCAATGTATTAAGATCTTATTTTCAGAACAAAATTTCATTTAAAAAGATTCACCTGCCAGAAGTCGGCCACGGTTGCGGGCAGCGGTCCTTGGGTGGCGATGTACGCGGGCTTCCTGGGGTCGTGGTCCATCTGCGGAGACAAGACCGCAGAAGAAAGATGAGCTGAAGAGCCAGGGAGTGAAGGGCCGGCTGAGGGGAGGGGCGCGGCGTGTCCTGTGCTGACAGTCCCAGCCCTCGACCCACACATGTGCGGAGTGGCAGACCCCGCCGCTCCTCCCCACGGCCCCTCCTGACCACAACCCGCCTGCGCTTTAGGTGGGACCTGGGGCTCCCCGCCGCCTGGAGCCTGGCGACTGGGGCTGAATGTTTTCCTTACCCCGGGATGGAGGTAACTGAGCAGAGTCGGTAGGAAAGGAGGCCAGTGACCCAGAGACCAGATACCAGAGCGTCAACCCACACACAGGCCGCACTAGGCAGGGTGGTGGGGACGAAGCGAGGGCACCCGGGGCAGCACCCAGGCCGCCTACACGGTGACCCGTCCACGGACGCGTGTGATCGCAGAGGAGTTCGGCCGATGTGCGCAGGCTTCACGGCCACCACTGGCCACGCACAGGGTTCGAGGTAACGCGGCCGAGGTTAGCGCTGAGGGCACTGTGCTGGGCAGAGGGCAGGGGCACTGCCGGGGGCCTGGACGGATCCAGCAACAATGCCTCCCAGGATGAGTTACTCCCCTCCCGTGGGGGCTTGTTTCTCTTTACCCCGAAAGAGGCTCGGGCCCAGAGTCCTCCTGGGGTCTGAGAGCCAGCACGGCACACGCTGCCTAGCCTTCCAGCAGCTGACTCTCTATGCTCTTTCCACCTCGCCAGACAAGGACCGAAAACAAGCAAAGGAGAATGCCGTGGTGGGTTTCCTGGCTAGGGGATCTGTCCGAATGCAGCCTGCTGGCTTTGAGAGAGGAAGTTTGGCTTAAAAGACCTTCATTATAACATCTAATTCAAAGACTGACTAAGCAGGAAAAAAAGAACATGGGAACGAAGCCTGGAGAAGCAAACTGGATTAAATCAGACGGACGGGGCTCTTGCCCCTCACGCTGGCGTCCTAAGAAGACAGGAAGGGAGCGGGCGAGGTGGTATAGCCAAGACGCCCTTGCTGCCCCCAGCTTGAGGCCCGCAGAGGCCTCCCCCAGAAGGGAGTGGGCGGCTCTCCCCTGGTGGCAGGCGGATGCTCACTTATCAGACTGTACAGCATCCCTCATTCACTTTCTATGCTTTTGACACCAGCATTTGATGAAAGATTTAAAATGCTCCGCACTTGAAGGTACTTGTTAAGAATACATCTCCCAATACGGTGAAAACAACAGAGGGTGCGACCACACATGATTCTACGGCGACATGTGAGGATGTCAGCTGTAAGCCCCGGGTCACCTGAAAGCCCCCTCTGAGTTTGGGTTTGAGAAGAGCCTGCGTGAGGCGCGTCCGCCTTAACACGAATCCAGTGAATCCTCCCGCAGTGCCCGCCCGTCAGCACTTTCGGGGCCGAGGGTTGTCAGCGTGAAAGGATGCCCCCAGCGCACCTTATAATTATGTGCACCATGAAAGGGGGAAAGGGCACAAAAGAACAGGTGTAAGTTATTGTAACAGAACAACATCTGACGCTAGCTGGCGGGGGAGGGGCAGGAAAAAAAGCTTATTGTGCATCTAATTTAGTAGGATTCATAATTGAAACCGGAAATGCACAACACACACAATACAGGTAAAATTACGTTACTCTGTAGCTGAAAGCCCCAATTAAAATGTTTCAGTAGAAAAATGCTTGGCAGAAATTAGGAGTTTTATGTTCAAAATATGCATTTGTTGGGGGTGACAGCTATTTACGGAGACCCCTATCTCTTCCCTGCAAATAGTTCTGCATGAAAAGTAAAACCCCACCTCCTTTTCAAGTGTGCTTTTTTGCCCAAAGCAATTCGGAGAGCAACACATTTTAAAATCGTTAGTACGTTCAACCTAGCACATTTAGTGGCTTTCACAATGAGAAATATGTGGTTGAAAGTAAAAATCGGAACAGGGTTTCGGGAGGGTAGATAAGGCCCCCTGTTGTGGGAAGTCCTGATGTCATGGTGTTCCCATCTTCCCCATCCACTGCTCAACGCGAGACAGGGACCGGAGGACGTGAGGCTAGGGGTAAGGGGGAGGGGGGTGCTCAATGGCCCATCACTCCCCTCCCCCTTGGCTGCATCACATGGCTGCCTCTTGGAAGGCAGTAAGTGATCACAGAGCAGTGATGTGCCACCAATTGAACAGTGACTGAGATGAGCACACCACCATCACCTCATCCCGTGCACATTTTCTGAAGGACAGAAAATAATTCTGGGCAGAAGTACTCTGTGCGTGTAGCAAAGATAAGGCCACGGGAGCCTCAGCCCAGTCCTGTGCAACTTTGAATGAATGAAAGTAAAGCAAAAATTTAACTAAATGCACTGAAGTCTTACTGCACTTAAGATCTCCAAGGTGGGATAAACATAACTAGAGGAAATCGTGTCAGTTTCTACAGACCCGACTTCTCCACTGGGAGCTCTGGCTGCCAGCCCAGTGTGGTGGGTGAGGATGCCTCCACCTCCAGCTCCTGGTAGGGATGAGCATTGGCTTCTGCTGACATCTGAGCTGAATCTTCCCCCGTTCTTCCTTGTTGTTTTCCATTTCTCTGTAGTGTACTTTTTATCTGTAGGACTGTTGTGATTACAAACACAAGCCCCAGCACTGTGAATGAAGTCAGGGTCTCTGGCCTCAGTCTTAGTGTCTGTAAAATGGGTGAGGCGGGGGCGGGGAGGCGGGACTTGGTCTCTACGGGCCCTTTAGCTCTGGGATTCTGGGATTTTTTTTCAGAAAAAGTAGACCCCCAAAGTTTGTGTTCAGCCTACCGTTCATGTGGCTGGCTGAGTCTTATATGAAGATACCACATGAACTAGGGTGCCCGCAAGGTATATCCCTATGAATTTCTAAATGCACAGTTAAAAAAGAAACCTAGCGATCTGGTTCAAGCTGTGGAATGACAGTTATAAATGACCATGAGTAACTAGTGCTAATCTGCATTAAAAAATGTAGCAATACTTCCCCAATGTTCCAAACAAAACTCATCCTAAAAACTAAGCCTTCAGCAAATTAAGACCAGGGCACCTGTGTTCTGAAGCCTTGAAGGGTGACAGGCAGGGGGGGCTGCCGGCTGGTGCGCAGGTGAGGGCAGGGCCGGTACTGCCCCCGGACCACCTGGTGGCCCAAAGTCTCAGGGAAGGTCTGGGCCAGCCTCTGGTAGGGGGGCCACGCGGGTCACATCCCCTACCCTGCAATCTCACTCAAGGTGAACACGCAGGTTATCTTCCTGTATTCCTATCTGCCCACCTTACACCTGCTTTTCCTAACATGTAAAGCAAATTTCATAGATGTTTTCTTAAAAACAAGAGAACATCAAGCCTGAGTTTTCAAGTCACTTTCCCAGACACCAAGTCAGTGTGAGAGTTTGCTGGGAAATTGTAGCATATTAGTAAAATCAGTGGGAGAGAGTCTGGCTCTTTTTTTCGTATTCTTATGAGTTGAGATTTATTTAAGAAAAGTATTGGCCATAAACCAGAATTATACACGTATAGATGTTTGCTTGTAAACCCAAAAACCAAGGAATCGGCCCCCATGTTTGGCCAATTTCTTAGGATGTTCAGGGCATCTGAGCAGTCATCCTTTTCTGAAGAGTCAGTTTGTATCTACTTAAATTTGTTAAACGCAATCTGAGTTTAAAAATGAAACCATTTTCCCCCTTAATAAACAAACAAAGGAAGAGTATGTTTACTTTCAAGTGTTGTTGGGACGTTCAGACTTGTCCCTGGTAAGGGGACTGGTGTGCTGCTGTGTTAACGCCGCCACCCCTTAGTCCACGCCTGACAGTGACCAAGCTCCGGCGTGGCTGATGGAGTTCTCCCGCAGACACCCCATGCGGGGAAGCAGAATTCCCATTTACTTTCATGACCTCTGATTTCAGAGCAGAGATTGCACATTCTTTACTACTGGATGGCTTTCCTGAAATTTAATGAGGACTAAGTGCAAATATGACAGATGCAGTTATTGTAGTTTTATTCTGCACGGTCACGGGCTTCTTGGGCTCTCATTGGAAGCTCCTCACTCAATTCTGCTTAGGAAACTCATTAACATCAGACCTTCAGTCGTTTCAGGAAGAGGTACCGAGGATTTCTTCTAGTTCCTGCTTCCAACCCAAATTTGCACAAAAAAGAACTGAGGCATGAAATAAAAGGAGAACATAAAAGACACTGAAAAATCACTTGCCTCTCCTGGCCTCACCTTCTGACCCAAGTCCCTGCCCCATCAAGCCTGAGAGGCTGTTCTGAATTTCCACCAAGAGAGAGACGGGGAAGGCACAGGACTAGGGGCTGCTGGTGGGCGGCTTCTGGGAGAGATGCAGTTTCTCACCAGCACCCTGTCCTCACGGAGTCCTAACTTTAGTCTGAAATAGCTCCAATGTCTGGAAGCCGGAACCCATAAAATGGGGGAGAGTCGGGCACCCCCCAACACTGAACCCCCGTCTCTGAGACGTGAAAAGAATTGCTTTATTGCTCATTCTGGCCCCGTCACGTGGTTCATCCCAGGGAAGGAGCCCAGTGGGGAGAAGGCAGCTCTTTCCC